GCCTGGAAGACCGCCTCAAAGATCTGCAGAACGGCACGCTGGACGAGTTTGTTGAACGTTGTAGAGCGTTTGAGATCGGGAAGACGCATGAAGTCGACTTGGCAAACTTGCATCGCACGTTGCTCCTGCAAAACATCAGCGAGTTGCTCGCATTTGACTTGCGGCAAATCGAAGATGGGCACAATGCGTCGGTGGGAGAATTGCAGTCAGCAAACCCACCACGGATAGATGCCGCCCAACACGTCGAAGTCGAAGTGCCGACGTTTATCTCCCCAGCACCCATCACCACACATACCGACGACCAACTTCAACAGGAACTCGAGCAATTTGAGCATCGCAAGCACTTGCATTTCAGCATGGACCATTTGAAGGCTTGCGTCCCGTCCGTCACGACCATCCAGCACCAGCTCACGACTTTGCGCGAAAGTCTCGCGTCGGTGAACGAGAGGTTGCGCCAAGCAACACGTATGTGGCTGCATAGTCCGTTGCGTGGTCCATATTGACACCTCAATTTAGATCTCAATGCCAGTTACGACCACGAGACTCGGACAATTCATCTGGGCCCGATGAGATTGTGCGTCGGCGATGCCGTCGTACTGACGTCAGAACTTGCCGAGGTCCTTTCTTCTGTGCATGGACATGTTTTCCATAGCTATGCATAGGAAGACTTATTTGGGACCATTCATGCCATGACTGCAACGACGGTAGGATGGCTCCCCGCATTCACGTCGATGCCTATTCCTTGGACTTAGATTCACTTGCATCTCCTTTGCGGCAACGTCGTTCAAGTGACCTTACAAGCGTTGCGTGATCGAAGGTGTCGACTCCGCTTCCAAGACAACAGGAAAAATATTGCTCAGCCGTCCCCGTCCACGCGCAAAGTCAACACGACGCCTCGATCGAAGCGAACTACCCAGCGGAAACGACTCGTGTCGCTGATTTAGCGCCGTCATGGCTCGAGCGCCTCGCGTACGTCGCTGCCTTCGTAATAGGGCACTTGCGCGGATGTACCATGCAGCTAGACGTGGCAACCAGTGCACCATAATTCTCTAAGACCCGTCACGTTGACCGACGGCACGCCATCACGACCACACATACGCCCTCAGCGGCACCGCCACGTCGTCCTTCCTCGCAGATCCATCGATCTGCATGTGCTTGCAGTAAGTATGTTTAAATTGTTGTGCAGGGGCTGCATGCCGTTTACATCGTGCACTGACGGCGAGCGCGTGCCCAGTTACTAGGCCAAAATTGCACGACTGCTGTGCATCGCACACTGCATGAACATCACGTCGACTCGACCCACACTTGCAGGAGCTCATATCGTCGCCCGGGTGCACCACCTGACGTTTCGGTCATGCTGCATGTAAACACCACGAAGGCGGCGATGATGCCAAGAGGCCCCCATGATGCCTTCGATGTCTCGTGCGTTCAGCACTTCGACAGGAGACTCCAACGGGACTGCCTTCTCGACAGCTTGAGGTGCACATCTGTTGGGTAATTGAGTCGGCGACGAACTGCTTCGTGCTTGACTGGCCACAGATATTCCCCTGTCGGAGAAGCAGTGGAGACTACTTGGCCGATGTGGACGCCGCTGTGTGTGCATCGCAGGGTTCCACTTGACGTGGATGACCGGCATGTGTACGTGATCGGCATGGCGTGTACGAACGGGTGCAACAATTTTGGGTGGCCCCGTCGGGGTTCACGGCGATGGCGGTTTGGTCAACGGGAACGGTGTATGGATTCATCGCAGGCTTGTTTGCGCAATGTACATTGCGTGTGGAGCTTGCTCTATGCTTGTGTGGGTGCTGCGGAACCACATGACCAAGGACGACCATAGGTGGGAGTTGCATTGGCGCACGATCTGGAGGTTGCCGGCTGGAGGGTTCTTTGGGTCGTCGTCGATCCAGTTCAACTTTTTCTGCTTTTACCATTGCCCCAGTTGCTCACAAACATCGCGGTCATGTCTGCGCCGTGGCATGTGGCAGCCACCATCACACCTCCGTCGTTGGCAACGAGGGAATACGTTGGCGAGTGGCTGTTTGGGTTTGCCTTCGAGAACATCGCAGCCATCCAGTTGGCGCAATGGAAACCCAACACTCGAGGCACAGCCTCTCAGGAAGCCCTGGCGTGACGCGCGATGGGGTGTGGAAATACAGCCGACACCCCAACTACTTTGGCGACCTTTGCGTGTGGGTCATGTCGTTCGCTGACGCGTGCGCCTTTCAGCGTGGACTGCTCGCGATGCTTCCAGGTGTTGCATGCTATTACCTTGTCTACTTTACGGGGGCGTGGATGGCTGAACAAGTGTCCCTGATGAAGCGCGGTCGATCACATGCGCACTACTACCAAGCCGAGACTTCTATCTTGATTCCATGATGGCCAAGCCAACCACTCAACAAGGATCGAAAGCGCAGTGAAGTGCCGACAGCACCCTCGAACAATCACCCATCTTCCGCCATCCTCATTGTGTCTCGGTGTCTGCTATAGCAGCTCTTATCTTGGTTCCCAGGGCAGTCGCCTTGTCACGAGCATCTACTGTACAAACACGAGAACAAGTGCAATGACATAGACTAGCTCAGGCATCGAGAATGGACATATGAATCCCTTCCCATTTCTCTCGCGCAGGTCATTCGGCGCGATCCCGGATGGCATGTGTTGGACGATGCCATCCCAGAGGCGCGTGGGAATTTCCTTTCAGGAGCGTGTCTCTGGATGGCAGCTGGGAATTGTTTACTACAGCCGTCCTCAAAACCCGGGTTTTTGACCTAATACCGGGTGAAAGAATAACAATGTTGGTGTTTCCATTGATATTAAAGTCAAGCTTACGTATCGCCCCACAGTGTCGTAAACATCTTTTACCCGCGACGCGTTTTTCGCGACATGATCGCGTCGTCGACTGCCATTTGTCAAGATGAAGGTGATCACGGACTGTCCTGCGCTCTACGCCGCTGTCGCTGTGGGCATCATGTCGCTTGTCGGTGTGTACTACCTCCGACGTGGTCGTACGAGACGTCGCGCTCCTATCGCTGTCGACGTCACGCTGACGGACGACGAACTGGTCAAGCAAGGATTTGCATCCAAGAAAGTCCCAGACGATCTTGACGTGATTGTGATCGGGTCGGGGATGGGTGGGTTGACCGTTGCTGCCGCGTTGGCGAAAGAAGGAAAGCGCGTTCTAGTGCTGGAGCAGCACGATGTCGCGGGTGGCAACACACACACGTTCGAGGAAGGAGGATACGAATTCGACACGGGGTTCCATTACATCGGAGGGTTCCTCGACGACAAGTCATATCCGAACCGAAAATTGTTCGACTACATTTCCAACCACTCGGTCGAGTTCCAGCGGTACCGCCATCCCCGCCGCTCTTGATCTTCATCGGTTGTCGCTCATGGAGCTGCCTTGATAGATCGGGTGATACTGTCGACGTTGCCGTTGTCCAAGGGCCCGACGGTACCCGCGACGCTATCCACTTCACTGCCGACCACGAAGCGTTCAAGACCTACTTAAAGAAGCGGTTCCCTCTCGACCACGCCTCCATCGATGCGTACTTCAACGCAGTCAGAGCTGCCAATCGTGGTTGGGAGGTCTTCTTTGGGTTGCAAATGTGTCCGACGTGGCTGCGTGGCGTGTACCGGTGGTGGAATGCGTCCAAGCTTGAATACTTCCACAAGACAGTCCTCGAAGTTGTGTCTTCGCTGACGACCAACGCGGAACTCCTCGGCATTCTCAACTACTCGTGGGGTGACTTTGGGGACCCGCCGTCCCGCGCCTCGTTTGCGTTGAACGCAGCGATTCTCAACCATTACCGCGGCGGTGCGTACTACGCCGTCGGTGGCCCCAGCGTCATTCCCAAAAAAGTTGTTCGGGTTATTGAATCCCATGGTGGGAAGGTTCTCGTGCGGGCGCCTGTGTCTGAGATCCTGATTGATGCGTCCAACAACGCTTTCGGCGTTCGCGTCAAGGGCAAAGACATCCTCGCTCGTACCATCATCAGCACAGTCGGCGCGCCCCAGACGTACGCAAAGTTGATTCCGGAAACGCACCGCCACCACGTGGACCATCTTCTTCGCGAACTGGCAAACCCGGCAATGCAATCGTGCTGCTCGCTCATGTCGCTCTTTGTGGGCTTTCGTGGGGACGCCAAGGAGCTCGACTTGCCCACGCACAACGTGTGGAAGTTCCCGTCGTGGAGCCACGACGCCAACGTTGAGGCCAACCAGGTACCAAACCGTTCGCGATTCCATTTCATGGACTGATTTGCCGATGCAGACGTCGCCGGATGCTCCATTTTGTGCCCTATTCATGTCGTTTTCGTCGGCAAAGGACCCAACGTTTGCCGAACGGTTCCCTGGCAAACAAGTGGGGCTCGTCGTAGCCCCGAGCTTCTTCCACCACGTGGAGAAGTTCAAGGACGGTCGTGTCAAGCACCGCGGTGACGAGTACGAAGCTCTCAAGGACGCGTGGAAGGAGCGCCTTGTGGCCGAGTTCTTGAAGGAATTCCCCAAAGTATCGCGCGAGTCGATTGAAGTTGCCGAGGTCGGCACGGCCATCACCAACGATTTCTACCTTGGCACAACGCGTGGAGCTGTATACGGCCTCAGCCACACGCCTGCCCGGTTCACGTCGGACGCGATCAACCCTCGCACGCCCATTTCCAACTTGTACTTGTCTGGACAAGACGTCATGTCGTGTGGAATTGTCGGCGCTGCCTACGGTGGCCTCTTGACTGCAGCGATCGTCGAACCGTCGTTGCTACCCAAGCTCGGCAAGTTGCTGTCCAAGTCTAGCAAGTAAACAATGTCCTCCTCCTTTTTCTCCTGGACTCGTACACAACTGCTCCAACCTCTTTCACATGTCACACGAGCCAGCATCGCGAGGGATGAAATGCCACTAGGTCGGCTCTGCACGCCCGTGGCATCTACATGTATGATTTATCGATCTACCCACATACGACTCCACATAACAAATTCATCGCAACATGGCCTAGCTCGAACGGCTGATGATGCGAATATCGTAACGAGCTGGCAGGGACTCTGGTCCGCCGTCTCTTTGTTCTTCATGGAGGCCATCGACCGCGCGATGGGATGCCGATTCTCCAAGATGATTCGAGACACCGTCTGCACTCCTTCGTCCGTCCAACTCTGCGACGTGAATGGAATCCTCCTCTGTCTGGGCAACAACATCGACTGCCATCAGCATGTCCTCGATACACCCAATCTTGCCGCTGCTGGCGAACAGCAGCAGCACCGCAGCAAAGACGACCCCTCCAACTACCTCGACTACGAGCTTGTCGTGGATCTATTTTTAGGCTGGCGTGATCTTACCCACCGCCATCTTTTGCGCGTGTCGGTTGGATCCATGGTCGACAAGATCTCGGCCTTGCGCCATCACTCGGGAACTTGCAAACGTCATGCTGCCCTTGGCAGAAATTGTCGTGTCGGCGTGCTTGGTCGTGAGCATCTGTGTGTTTGGGCTACTGATTGACATGGAGGCACACCGGCGGATGGCCCAAGCCAAGGCCCCCCACGTAGCGACCTCGAACGCGTCCTCGCACTGGCCCACGTCATGGATCCAGCATGAACTCATTCGGCCGTGCGCACCGGGCGAGACGTCATATTTGGACACGGTCAAGACGAATGCCCTGACGTCACCGGGAAACATGTACTTTCGCAGCATTTGCGAGACGGGGTCCGACGCGCCGTCGCTCACCCTCAAGGCAAAATCCATCAGCTGCCGCATATGGCAGCATCTCGAAGCGTATTTAGAACGGCAAGCCGCCTCGGCGCAGAACCAAAGAGCTCCTAGAGAACTCACGACTTGCCGAGTCCAAGGCGCCCAAGCCGACGATCTGAGGCTGCCAATGTCGCTCCATTAGCTAGCAGCCTTTTCTTTGTTAGGACTTAGGACCACGACTCCAGGAATCCAATGCCGTATCCATCTTTTCTGCAGCCCCGGACGTGAAACGCGGTGCTGACAAGAAACCTTGGCAACTTTACAATCTAGCCGCCCGTGGTGTCTGTGAACTTGGTGGAATCGTCGCATATGAAGGTTGTCCAAGGTCAGATTGATGTGGCAGCTGGGCTCGTACATGACGCGTGTTCCCGAAGTGGGTTGGTGCTGGAGGGCCCAAGATGGGCACTCGAAGCCATTCATTGCTCCAACGCATGTCGGCGTTTTGCTCGGGGACTCGTGGCTTGAGTCCACGTGAATCCATCGCAACCTAGCGGCTGCGATTCGACTTCGGTAGAGGTTTTCTCGTTTGTCAACTAAAGTTATACATTTGGTTAGGCGTCGACCCGGTCATCGAATTTCACAATCTGTGCATCAAATGTTAAATCGAATTTTGAGCCTATAGAGAAGAACCAAAGAGCCAATTCGGCACTACAAAGTCGAATTAATGAACACGTCAAGGCTAAATAGGAACTTCATAAGCGTTAAGCGAGATCTAAGTCGCTATTGTTGTCGTCGACGCTGTTGTTGTCGGTGCTTTCGCCGTCTGTCAGTTCATCACAATTTGGGCAGACCAAGTGCCGGTGCAACGCATCGAGAATACAGTCGTCATGGAAGACGTGGCCACATGGAAGGGTCGTCAGCGCGGCGGACGCCGGGTCGTCTCGATCTAGGCATGTCTTGCAGATGGAGCAATCGGACAGGGCACCCTTGGACGTGGCGACTGCGGGATATTTGGACAACGGCGACGCAGCAAAGAGAGTCACATCATAGCCGTCCATTCCAACAAAGAGAAAGCGGACAAGCTCTTGTGGCACCACTGACGAGGCCCGACCACACGATTGATTCCGCGGCGTCCGAATGAACTTGAGCAGCGTGATGAGCAGCTCTTGGTGGGTCGCAAGGTTCGCTTGGACGTGTCGAGGGTCTTTTGACCGCACAAACAACAGACGACGGGGCTTTGCTTCGAGCACGCGAAAGTACATCCACGGGCACTCTGCCGAACACGAGTGGCCATGGTCCAACGCGATGCATATTCGTTGGCGAAACGCGGCAAAGTCGGCGTCGGACTTGGAGATGGTGCACGTGGCATGGGTGACTTTGTTGACCACGGTCAGCGTGTACGTGGTGGCGTCGCGTGGAGACACCGTGGCCTTCGTGAGCACGACGGAGACGCCACCAAACGCCCGACCCGACGCCAGCATTATTCGGTTCTTGCACCAACCGCTGTGCCATGCGAGGATCGGAACGACATCTTGGAGCGGTGCCTTGAACTGCAGAACCCAGACGGCTGGTGTAACGTGTTGGTGGCATTTGATTGGGTCCATTGGGATCTTCAAGCGTTGGGAGGAAATTTTTTCAACAACTCGATACAGTTGCCCATATAATAATATGGAATCCTCCATATTGCCACTGGATTCATCCAATGGAACGTCACTCAGACACAGGACAGGCCACGACGCCGTCGGCCTTCGTCGCCCGACTCAGTCGGCCGCAGCATGCGCACATGGGCCGACGCGGCTGTGCCAGCGAACGCACATTACTTTCCCTCGACGACGGGATCGACAGGGGGCATCCTCGGGTCGGGCTCATGAAGTGCTCGAGATGGACGATGGACTTGACAGTAGCTGGATGAACGACGACAGCATGGCCAGCCAAACCAAGTGGTGTGTAGTCTGTTGTACCACTCGTACCGTCCCCTGTTGGCCTCCACATGATTTGTGAAGCTCTGCATGCTCGCCTCATCGCTACATTGCTGGCGCCTGAATGCATGTTGTCGCTACTACTAAAATTCGCCGTGTTCATGCTATGCACGACTAAACACCAGCACACGGACTTGTCAGAGGTCCTTGGCATGGAGCATCTTGATGAGCATTCCTCGCTTGTACTCCCTCGCGAGAGACAGCGCCAGCTGCAGGTACCCTCGCCGCACACGGTCGTCGACGGGGAGGTCTGCCAGCGCTTTGAGAACCTTGGGCCCGTCCTATTCCATGCGATCCATGATTGAGTATTGTTGAAGCGTGAGAAGGTGATCGGTTGTACCGTGGGCTGAAAGTTCCGCGCCTTGATCTGCGCGACAATCGCAGTCCATCGAGAACTGTTGTCGATGATGACTCGGTACAGTTGTTTGCTCCACACGCTACCGTCATGTGAGCTTTCCACGCCCAAGAGGACGGCCAGTTCCTTCTGAAACAATCCTTCCGCGTCCAAGTCGGTCACGGCAACTTCGTGGGCAACGTGGATAAGTCGCTGGGGGGACGACGACGATTCAGGAGATGACGTGTTCGGGGACGACGGGCTCTCGCCTCGGCCCCTCCGGTACTTCAAGTACTTTTGCCGCTTGCGACGGTTGGACGACGTCATGACGTTGGTCGAGCCGAGCGCGGCCGCTTCGTCTGCAGCGTCGCCGTACGAGTCGTCCAGACCGCCACTGCCGCTGCTCTTGCTAGACGAATTACTCTTTTTGTACGGAAAGTCCAACGAAAACTCGAGCTTGCGACGACGGGTCCCTTCCGGCGTCGCTTCGTCCTTGTCAGGCTCGCCAAACGGATTCCGCAGACGCTCCGTCTTGAGCGCCGTCGGAATGTAGTCGCTCATGACTTCCACCGATTGAAAAAACTTGGACGGATGCTCCATCGCGAGCGCCGTCTTGCTGGGAGCCAAGTGCGCCAAAGGACCTGTCCACAGCGGCACGTCCGAAAATGCATGGTCCACGGGCTTGCGAGACACCAGTGCAAGCTTGTGCTTGGCGTGGTACGCTAGGAGATCCACAGGTGCCATTTGCATCACGTTTTGACTGAGAGCGAGGGAAAGAATTGGGTGAGAATTGGATGGAGTGGTGCATGTACGATGAAAACGTACTTGACGACGACGGGTCGCTTAAAATGATACGGAGAGCTTGGGGCTGACGACGCCGGCGACGAGTGGCTCGAGTTACTCCGTGTGGAGGACAGCGGTTGGCGATCGGAATCTGCGGCGGTCATGGCGATGTCCTTGAGTCGAGTGAGATGATTCGTCACCTACAACGAGCGACCTAAGTCTTTCGCACACCGTCCGATGCGCCAAGGGCAACGACTGCGTCAGTCTTCGTGGGCGGATGGGGCAATACCTGATAACTTCGGCCACTGTCTGGAGTATCGGGCACCAATTCATGCAGGTTGTAGCGCTTGAGCACTTTGCGCAATGGCATGTGGTAGTAGCACGGGACGGACGAGAGGTAGGTCGAGAAAGCATCGCGCCAACTCGCCGTCATGGTCTTGCTCTGAAAGTGCCATGGATTGGTGGGACTTGGGTTTGGATTTGCCGTGTGCTGGCGCGCGGCGTCCACCAAGAGCGAAAACAGCACGGGAAAGTTGTACGGCAGCACGATGAGTCGCGTCACCGACACGCCGTTGGTCGTTGTCGTGCGGAGAAACCCAAACGGCTCGCCTACTCAACGGATACGTAACAAGAGTTCTCGATCATGATGAGCCCCAACAGACGACAGCAGCGCGACTGGACAAGGCGCAATCAAATATGTGTATGGCGTACCAATGCGGCCTTCGCTGCGACTGCCGACCATGTACACGAGCCACCTGGCACCTCGCGGCGGCGCCGGGTTGAGCACGTTGTCCACTTGATAGGAATCGGCGGGGAACTTGAGCGTTTCGAGCACCATTTGGTTGGTCGCACTATCCGTTTGGGACTCCACACTTCGCTTGAAGGTGAGGATGGGATGTGCGTCGCGAAGGGGCAGACTCGTGGTGGTCCGGTCGACCCAAAAGGCTTCGGGAATCGGCCACACAAACTCGCGAGTGACGTTTGCAGCAGTCGACAGCACGTTCTTCGTCATGCCGAACGTGTCCGTGTCGATGGCGCCCGACGGCCCGCCGGTCGACGACGCTGGAGATGCGTCGCACTGGAACCGCACGAGCACGCCAGGTTTCATGCGGGCAATCACAACATCCACCCTAGTGAGGGATGGCATTGACCAATGCACTTTCTGTGAATGGGGACATACTCTTTCTCAACCGAAGCCTTGGTGACGCGCCCGTTGTTGAACAAATGCAACATTCCTCCCGTTTCTTCGCATAATGATGAAAAGAATGGCGGATTCACCGCCGTGTTCGCTTTGGTTGAGGTGATGTCAGCGCTCAATTGAACTGCGATCGTAAAGAGGCGCTGCAGGCAGAATGCTTGGATGAGTCAAGTTGATTGAGGAGACAAGACGTACCTGGTCCCACCGGAAAGGCTGTCGAGTGAGGTCGAGCGCAGATAGAGCTGTCGGCGGCACGACCAGGTCGGCCTGAACACCGTCCATCGTTGTAATTGAACCGGCGTCCGTCACTAGCACTATGTGGGTCATGTGGGCGTTGTATGGCAGGCGGCCGAGGCCGTAGTTGTCGCAAAAGATCTTGGCACGTTCGCGATTGATCAAGTCGAACGCGGTGCTCAATGCACTGCCAACATCACTCAGGTCCCGCGGCTCCAAATACTTGAGTTCGCGGTAAAACATTTCTCGGTTGGCTGAGTTTTCCATGCCGACGACCACGCCATTGTACGTCACAAGCATAAAGTGAATGTAGTTCATCCGGTTCACCGTGCGGGACAAGAGCTTTTTTGCCATCGTTTCGACCACAGACTTGGCAAAGTCCAGCAACGTCATGCCGCAAGCAGATCTCTGACCCATCGACGCACTTGTGTCCACCACAAACGTCACCAGCATCGTTTCAATTCCAGGGGAACCGCACCGCCGCCGCCGCCACCTTGCCAACCCGCAATTTGTCGCGGGGAAATCCGGTTAACTAATCTTTATCCGGAATTTCGAAAGCAGTCCAATTCGGACAAATCCCAAAATGCAACCTGAATTCGGCTTTCACAGTTGTGTACAGTATGTGCACCCAATAGGACATTCCTCAGTGTGCTCCTGGTTTTGAATGGTACTAGTGCTACTATTAGTGCTACTATCTACGCAAGCATACTAGAACGCGCCAGGCGTGCCACTTTGGCGCAATCGCATCCCCTTCGCGTGCACGGCATCAGGAGACTGCTGCACATGAAGCGAGGTCTGTCGTGAGGAGGAGTTGTATTTGGTTGCAAAAGGACTGTGATTTGTACACTGCGCTGTTGGTATTCACCCGGGTATGCGATCCATGTCGAGACCGCCCACTCGAAGTGCCATTCAAATTCACCGAGCGGTTGAAACGACTTCTTCGAATCGAGATGAAACACGTTGTAGTGCTCACTTGACCACATTATGCTACAGACAAGTGGGATGCTCCTTGGCATTGCAGGACGACGTCGGGTCGAGCTTCTGTCGGGACTTGACTACACGACGTGCAGCATGGGGGATGGTTTATACATGGACTACGAGTGAGTTTCGCCGCGACACGGAGGCCAGCACTCCAGTTGTCGTCGTTGCTTCCTTTCGGCCACCCAACGTCACCAAGAGTGCCCCTCCCAAGAGGAGTGGTGCTGCAACTAGAGTCATGAAGTCCGGCTCGTCTTGGACACCAGCAAGGTACCCCATGTAGCTGCCGAGCAATGGCTCCCATAGACCTGACACGGCCAGGAGCAAAGGGCTCACGTGCACGACGACAGAGTTGAGACAAGCATGACCAAAGAAGCCAGCGACAAAGGCAGCGCCAAACGCGAGTCCAAAAAGTTGCCAGTTGCCAAAGAACCCAAACAACGCGGCTGGCCCGAGGCCCAACACGGACGTGCTTGGCTCCAACACCAGCGATGCAATCGCCAAGTACATGGCGCCAAACCCAGTCACGGACAGAGAATAGATGAAGAGTGGCATCCATTGGCGACAGGCAGCTCCGCCCTCCAAGTACACGATGATCACTAGCGCCCCAACCAACGACGAGACGTTGCCGGCCAGAGTGACGTGGTGGGTTTGAGCGCTTTCGTCGGAAGTGCTCGCGAGCAAAACAACAACGCCGGAGAAGCCGACGGCCGCTCCCATGGTCTCCATCCACGTTGGCGGCTGAGCAACTGGTGGGCAGATGACCGTGTTAAACAACGAAGGGGTGGCTTCCGTCGTAAAGAGGATAGCGTCCGTTTCCTTGGCAACTGCACGTTCCTGGAAGCTCCCGACCACTGACGATGGAAAACGGCGTCGGTACAGCCAGCGCAGGGTCATGATCACAACCAGAAGCAGCGGCGTCGTGCAGACGAGCAACAACGAGTCCAGCAACGTCGTGTGGGCTACGCTCCATCCCCACGTACCAAAGTAGCATCCGAAGGCAGCGCCGACGGTCAGTAGAAGCGGCAGGGTCCGCCGGTATTTGGCCCAAAACGCCGCATCCACCACCGGATTAAACAAGATTTCGTAACCGACGCCCACGGATTGCAGCATCACGGTCAAGATGAGGCGCCAGCACGCCTGCATGATAGGAGGTGTCTGCGTGAACAATGCAAACCAGACGCCTCCGGATGACATGGTCACGATCGATAGCGCCAGGACAACATACGCCCACCATGGAGTTGACATGATCGGGGCTCGGAAAAATCAACTGTGGGGGTTTCGAGCCATGTCCAGATCGATGTGATTCGAGCGTTGCCTTTGGTTGTGATTGGCTAGAACGGATGTGGTGGCGAACCACGACGTCGAATGGAGGCTTCTCGTGGCCCACCGTGCGCTCCCCATGGCTTGCATGTGCACCTGGTGCACCACCTGGTGTTGCTCGCATCACTTCCACGTGGCGCAAGTCATTCCGAACGACTTGAGGGCACAACCACAAAAGATGCGGATGCGACGGAAAAGTTGATTTTGTAACGGCCTTGTTGGATCTGTGGTATGGCTAGCTACACAGCATGGTCGGGTGGGTTCTTGTCTCGACCGCCGAGGGTGACGAGGGCGGCGCCGCCCAGGAGGAAGATGGCTGCAACGAGGGCCATGATATCCGGCGGACCTTGGACACCAACCAGATACCCCACGAGGCTTCCGAGGAGGGCCTCCCACAGTGCTGCAATGGAGATCAGTAGTGGGCTAACATACACCACCGCGATATTTGCGCACGCGTGACCAAAGAACCCGGCAAAGAAGGCCGCGCCAAAGGCCAAGCCAAAGCGTTTCCAGTCTCCGAGGAACCCAAACAGGGACGCTGGTCCGAGTCCCCACACTGTTGTGTGCGACTCAAACACAAGCGACGCAGTTCCCAAGTAGACCGCTGGTGACGGAGAGCATATAAAGAAAAAGAGGCATCCATCTCCGGCAAGTGGAATACCCTTCAAAGTACACGACAATCACGAGCGCCCCGACCAACGCGGATGCATTTCCGACCAATGCCACATGTCGGCTCTTGCTCCCTTTGTCGATGGCCGTCGATAAAAGCGCGACGATCCCAGCAAACCCAACGATGGGCGCACAACCTCGATCCACGGTTGGCGGGAGGGCAATCTCTGGGCACACGACTGCTTCAAACCCTGTGGGGTCGTTCGAAGGATTGGCTCGATTGTCCATCAACGAGGTGATCTCTTGGGCTACACGAGGCTGCAACTTGACAGGCTGGAGTTGTTGGTTTTTATGGGGCGGTCGACAATGTCGATAGAGCCACCGCAATATGATGATGCCTACCATGAGCAATGGCGACGTGCATACCAACAGCAGCGAGTCCAGAAGGGATGTATGGACCACGCTCCAGCCCCAGCTGCCAAAATACCCGGCCAAGGCTGCACCGATGGTTATCAGTAACGGCAGCATTTGGCGGTAGCGACGCCAGAACGCTTGGTCAATCGACGGGTCCGATCGGATTTCGTATGCAGCGCCGACCGATTGCATGATTGCCGTGAGCGAGCCAACACGCTTGCATGAGAGGAGGCGTGTCGGACAGAAGCGCAAACCAGACGCCGCCTGTGGACATGGTCCCAATGCCTAGGGCCAGAACAGCGTAAGCCCACATCGGTGCCATGCGCATTTGGTGGCTCAGAGGACGTGACGCTTCAATCCAACCAAGAGCGAGCGCGACAATGTTCGACTGGAGCAACAGCACTGAAATGGCCGGCATATATCGTTTTGTGGATGCTTACAAGGCACACCTAAAATCGAATATCGTAATAACAGTTGAACGATGCAAACAGTTGCCACGCACGGCTCAGAAATGACGTTGCGCGTGCTCTGCGGCGCCAAGAAAAACTGCATCACTTCGCAGGTCATGAATTTACCGCCATGACGCCTCGTCATCATCCACGTGGCAGTGTGGACATTTCATACCCATTATGTGCTCCAACAAATATAAAACTTCTCTATTCATTAAAGTATACAACTGTACTACTGACAATTCACTTCCATGATTTCACATGCGAACAAAAGCACTTGATGCTTCAATCCGACCGAATAGGCATTTTTGAGTATTTTTTTCCCATTCTGAATTGTTTTCGTGCTTCACGACTTTCGAGGGATGGGATTGGTTGAAATCCTATGATGTTACGAATTTCAGTGACGGGAGTTGCGTTGGCAGGAATTGGACAGTGTCGATCCGTTTGGAGAAGTAAGACCGTACTTGAACAGGATCATTTCTATAGTGCAGTCATCTTTACTTTGTTTTCCAAAGTAGACGATACCAATAACTTTGAGGATCGGAAGCGACCCCCTTCGTTGACTCGGGATGTCGGCGCACGTGCTGAGGACGCAAGTCCGGGTCGTGGCTGTTGATGAACGTCCGCTGTTGCTATTCCAAGACAGTGTGAGCGGAGGCGGGTGTTATGAGAAGTTATTTGGTCCCTCGTCTTGCTTCCCATTCCAACAACTACCGCAAGCAAAAGACTCTACACGTCGTTGTACTTCATGTTTTGTTATATTCCTTACGCTCCTTTGGAAGGGGACGAACAAGTTGCAGCATGAAGAACGTTTCTTTGGGATCCCCCAAGGCACAAAGGGACCATCCTAGCGAAATCAACAACACAGCAGTGCTTGTCGAGTACAATCGTTTCAATGTCGAAGCGTCGTCGGGTTCTTCATTCGGACCTATTGCTGCTCGCTCGATTGTGGGACAGGTGTGGGCAACTCGACTTCGATCAATTCTGCCTTTGGAATGCGAACGCGGAAGTGGGGATCGGACGGGTCGGGGCCTTTCATCGCTCGCAAGTGAACTTTCATGGCAGCGTTTTCTTTCATCAACGCCTCGTTCATGTCTTCCAACTGCTTGATCCGTGGGTTGTCTTCGTCGTTGTTTTGATTTCCAGCCGAGTCCCGAATGAGTTGTTGCAGCTGTTGCTGTGCTTGTTTGGCTTTGTTCTTGAACAAGAGCACGTGCTTCTCCAAGTTCACAACGTACTCTTGTTGCGCTTGAAGCTTCTCTTTCAAGGGCGCTAGCTCACTCTCCGATGGCGACGCCACGGGAGCGGCTTGGACTCTCTGTACCTGTGCAAGCTGTTGGCGCAAGTCGTCGATACTTGCTTGGGCCGCGACGCGCTCAACCTCCAACGTTCGCTGCACCTCAGCAAGCTTGGCCTCCCATTCCGCCTGGCGCTCTGACACGTACCGGTCGTACTCTGTCAGGCGCTTTTTGTCTAGACAAATGTGATGAAAAACGCGAGTGATGCAAATGGCGACCTTTTTCCGCGTCGCCGAGGCGCTTCTTGAGTTGATCGAGCTCGTTTTGCTTTGCCGTGACGAGGTGGTTGAGGTCGGCGAGGGTCTTGGCGTCGCTAGAGCTGACCTTTTCCGTCGCTCGAAGGGCATCGATTTGGTTTTGCTTGTCGGCGAGCAGGACCATCAGCTCGTCCATGTGCTTCTTGTCACTGGCTTGCAGGAGCTCATTCTGCAGGAGACGACGGTCGTACTCGGCTCTCGCGGCATTCAGGCCGTTCTCGAGCTGCTCGCGATTTTGCGTGAGCTGCACGACCATTTCGTCCTGGAGCTGCAACGTCGCCTGGACGGCCTTTATCTGCACCGACACATCGACCAGCTACAGCGAGCCACAAGAGACGCATGTATGATGGCGGGAAAAAGTGAACATGTCAGTTGGCGGGACGGCATACCTCGGTCCAACACATTTGAATCCACGTCTTGAGCTTGGGATCGATGGCCGCCCCAGAGGTTGCGACGTGCTTGAGCACCTGATCGATTGCGGTCGATTCCGGCACCTGCGCTTGGGCCGACTCGAGCTGGGAGTCTTGAAACAGGATTTGCGAATTCAGGTCTTCGATTTGCTCCTCGAGCGCCGACAGCTCGTCTTGGACGGCGGGGTCCACATACGACTACGAACGATGCAGGATTTCCCTCCATGACGGTCACACGCTCCAGCATGCCTTACTTGAGATTCCATCTTTTGGACAAACAGCGCGAGTTTCTTCTCGGCGCGGTCCTTTCGCCGCTTCAGACGGGAGAGCTCCTCGGGATCCGGCGATCCTGTCGCGTGGAGCTTGGAGTTCATGGCGTGGATCGACTGGGCCAAATCCGTGATGCTCGATTGCACGGACAAGCTGATCACGCACAGTTGTAAAGACCGCTCAAGGCACAGGGACAATTGTTCACCTTTGCCGCATTTTCTCCATTTCAAGCCCATGCTTGCGCCGCGCAATGTCTTCCTTCTCCTTGGCAGTGACCTCTTTTGCACGCAGCATCGTCGCGACCTGCGCTTGCTTGACATGACTCTCGACGGCAGCCAACAATTGAGTTTGGAACATTGCATGAATCGACGTCGTGTCCAACGGAACAGCGGTCGGATCCGCCGTTTTCGGTGGTACCGGGAGTGCCGACACCGCGGGCGGTGGCGAGCTCCGAGGCAGCTTTGCTGTTTGCGCCCGAGCTGGAGGAATCTGCATGGCACGTAGGAACACATCGAAGCCATGTTTAGTGTGTCGTACGTGCGATTCCTTGGGCTTCGTCAGTGGCGGAGTGGTCGTAAAGAGGACGCCGTCAGTCGCCTTGGACTTCTACACAGTCGTTGACATCATTTTCTCAAAGTGGTTGCAGAGGAAGCGCACTGCTAATTCCGTCTTGAGCTGCACGATTTCTTGTTGTAAATGGAGAATTGTCACGGTCGTCTATGCCAACATGCCAGGCGCTGGAAATGAGGTCGTTCAACAGGAACAAGTACCTCGGTAGTCATTTCGGGGTCCGCCATCAACACACTGTCATCGTCGTCGACGCTGTGGCGTTTGGCAAACAAACTAACAGCCTTTCGATCCATCGAGTCGCCGGACTGGTTGGTCGCGCCTTCCACGTCCCGCCGACGAGGTGTTGCACAGGCCACGGTAGTGGCCATCTGAAGTTGTTGGTTCATCGCGCGCAGCGCCTCCAATTCCTTGTGGGCTTGTGCCATTTGGCGCTGCAACTGTTCCATTTCTTTGCTCTTGAGCTCAAAGATCTCGACGTCTTGTTTCAGTTTGTCGTGAAGCGCGTTGATTTCGGCACGGTATTCGTGTGCGTTGTTGTGGGGCAAGTCGTCAGCACCGTTGATGGGTGTTGCAGGCGAGTCGTGCTGGAGGAGAACGATGCTGTTGAGCAACTTGACGACGTCATTCAGGCGCTGTTGCACGGGGCGTCCGAGCGCCTTGATATCCCGCTCCAGGGCGACCAGGGCAGTCGCGCCTTCCTTTGCCGTCGACTTGGCTGTTTGGACGGCTCTCTGCAGCGCCTGGACCTTGGCCTACCACGTGCACCATCAAGTTCTCCACAGAGCGGACGGACCGTACCGTCCATTCGTGAAGGAGCTGTTGGTCGTGCTCCTCTGGTGCTGCAACTGCCACGGGTGGAGTGGTCACAAGCTGCCGCTGGAGCATCTGAATCTCTTCCTTCATGCGGAGAATCGTGTCGTCGGTGTCCGCCTCCTTGACATGGTTCACCACCGGGCGATTCTTGATGTTTTTGGCGCGGTTCGCATACTTGAGCGTGTTGAGGGTCTCGTCAAAGTTGGCCGCGACCGGGCTCACACACGCAATCATGAGCGTCTTTGAGTTGCCGCCGAGACTGTCTTGCAGCAGCCGCGTGAGCTTGGAATCGCGATACGGAACATGAGCCTTCTTCTTCGCGTCGTCGCCCAAAGCAGAAATGACATTCCCGAGCGCCAGCAGCCCTTGGTTGATATTGACCGATTCCTGCGCCACGAACCGGTGACCGTGCCATGGGTAGCGATGCATGCACGTACTTTGAAGCGTCCCCCGACCGCCCCCGTCCGCTTGGCCCGTTCCGAACCTGCCAAGTCGACCAAGTGAAACTTTGCGTGCGTGAGTTGCCCCGAGTCCCGCCGTTTTTGCTGCAATACGAGCGTAAAGATCGCATGCGATCGCGACGACTGCTCGTTCATTTGCGTGCTGCCTGTCACCCTCGCGGCCGATCCCATGGACAGTAGCCGCATGACGTCGTCGGGGGTTTGAACAGCTTGCGACTTGGCGCCCGTCACCACAATGTGTCCGTCCGCGTCTTCGCGAATCGACAGATTCTACTCCCGTCCGCAATTGTCTTTCAAACGCCAGACGTGATGTGTTGTACCTTGGACGATGTTTCAGGATGGAGGAGGTCGCGCAATTCTTCGTTGTAAATTTCGACGTACTCGATGCGCAAGAGGCACTCGGAAACCTACGGCAGTCCATCCAGTCGACCTAGTCATGCTATCTCGATCAACCATACTTGCTGGCGGGCGTGCATGAGCTGGAACACGTGGCACACGGCGCGAGGAATCACACCGTGGCTGTCTTGGAGTTTGGCGCTGTAGGCGGCACCCCCCGTCATCGTGAACGTCTTGCCCGTGCCGGTTTGGCCGTAAGCAAGCACTGTCGCATTGTAGCCCTACACACCATGTCAAACATTTGTCGAGAGGTCGCTCCTCCATTCAAGCTGCATGCATGGTCCACGGAAAAGGCAGCGCGTCCTGACCTCGATGAACCCGTTCACGAGTGAAGTGACGGATGTGGCATACAGAGCCTCCTGCGTCGTATCGACCGTGTGAATGCTATCAAACGTGAACGGCCGGTCTTTGCCCACGACAAGCTGTGTCGGGGGTTTTGGGCTCGGCATGACTCGAATGCAGTTGTTTGATGCAATCGCGGCCTGTTCCTTCTTGCTTGTCGGGCGAATACGGACGCAGACCTGGACGCAGTCGTCGGCCGTCATGGTGGACTCACGAGCAGCGTGGAAAGCGAACGATCCGTCCGCCGCTTCTAAAATTAACACCATCACAGCAAATCCAGTTACATGTGAAACAACTAGAGAAGATGCACGTGTTAGCAACTTAACGGCGGCGCCGGTCTCGATCGCGGCTGCGACTACGGCTACGGCGTTGGCGTAGACGGTCGCGGCTTCGACTTCGGCGTCGGTCCTCGCGACGGCGACCCCGATCTCTCGAGGTTGAGCGGGATCGAGTTCGGTGCGAGTAGCTGTCAGATTCACGGCGGGCAAACGACGGCCCGTCACTGGGATGTGTCGAAGGTATGCCGGAGCCTTCGCCCGGTGCTGACGATGCGGGTGCCCCCCCAGCATTGGCATTGGCAGCTTCACGCGCAAGTTTCATTTCGGCAATCTTTTTCCGAATTTGCATGTACCCGAGGTGCATTTTCCCACCAAAATGATCGGCCAAACGGCGGTCGCTGTCGAAAATACTGAGGAAAGCGCCGCACATGTCACACACACGGAGTTTGTTGTTGACGTTCGTCATGGCCAGCGGGTTTCCTGGTAGGACGTTCATGAGATGGAGTTGCGTGGCGTCGTACTCGTTCACCACGGGGTTCGAGGGACCGCTTGCGTCGGTGTTGGCTTGTACGGCAATCTTTTTCGCTTTGAGCGCTTCAACTTGCGCCATCAACTCCATGGATAAGTCCACTTCGCCTTCGTTGCCAGCATCCTCTGCTTTTTGCATGAGGTCAGCAATTTCAGCAGTGATTTCCAACACCTCTTTGTTGTTCTCAATGTCGGCCAACGTCGGTGGACGTGCGCCCTCTTGTTCTTCCAAACGCTTCTGTGCACGGGATATCTTCTTCTCCACGTCGGACACATACCGCTCCAATTCGCGCAACAAATCATTTTCGTAGCCATAGTCGCGGGGATTTGGTTTTGCCTTCTCGGCCTCGTACGCGATCTTGAGTTTCGGCAAGTGGAGCTTTTCGCAATCGCCCATATCCATTTTCGTATTCTGAAACAAGTCGTGCGGGCACAATCCACATAGAAATCGCTTGCACACACGGGAATCGCGAAAGTCGCTAATGTCTTCTTCTGGCTTGTCCCCATCCCGGTTCCGGCCCATCAGTTCATCGAGAAGCGCGCGTTGGGCGTCCATCGTTTTTGTGGTTCGGTTGCCGCCGCACAATGTTCTGCTGGATCGATCGGCGGTACATGATTGGCTCAGGTTGATTTTATTCTCGTTAAAATTCAAACTTGAATATTGTATTGAATAAAATTTCAATCCGTCTTGTTCTCGTAGCCAATGAAAACGCTGGACGTTCGATTGCAATCTTGCACGCGCTGCTCAACCACGTGGCGCCAAACGTAAACGCCAGGATTTTCACCATCGAAGGAAGCTTGTTCGGCGGCGATGGCACGGTCGATGCATCTCTCCATTTCGGTCGGATGCGTGGATCGAACCGTGAATATCAAAACCTATGGGGACGCGAAATTCCGTCCGAATGTGCTCCCAAACCGCTATCCGGATATATCCGAATAATGCCTATTACTGCCGAGCACCGCACTGTCGAGGCGATCCTCGATCACATTGCCGTCGACGTACACTTCCGAGTGACGCTTTTGGACGCGAAATGCTATGAGCTGCGGAAGATCCTACACATGTATGCGGTGACTTCGCCTGAAGAAGCTGCAGCGAAGGAAAACGACGCAGAAGCCAACGTGGAAGAAAAGGAAGCCATGCAAGGCGATGTTGCTGCGGCCGAATCCGCATTGCAGAGTGCACTGCTGCGCGCAAGGGCGATACGAAATGCCCCAGAGATCAAGAAACGCACTAAACTTCAAAAAGCTGACTCATTACAGTCGACCCTGATGGCTCCACGAGAACACTCACCCACGACCCGTGCTGTCGCTGGGCGCGACACAATTCCTTCTCAGGACCAAGAACGCCCTCCCCGCCAGCATCCACAGCCCAAGTCACTCCCTCGACACATGCTTGCTAAAATAGCCGAAGTCGTTGACAAGACAGCGATTTGGTCATCACCGGATTCCCCGGCAAAAGTGTTCCTTGGCAAGTTGAACCAACTGGTGTCTCAGCGCGACGCGGCCAGCGCAGCTGGCGGTGCGATTTCGCCACCACGAATTCCTTATCGGGAGCAAGTTTTTCGGCTGCAATATGCATACGATCGCATTCTCAGTGTCGTTGCCAAATGTTGCTCGTACATGTCATCGAGCGACACCCCACCGTCGCTGTCGCGCGTGTTCCCGGTGTGGTATCGGCTGCACAAGATCAAGAAACTTCTGGTCGAGATGAATGAAGAGCTGACGTCGCTTCTGAAGCGAACGCCGCCGCCGCCACACTTGTCGCAAGTACCTTCCACTCTTGTCATCGACGGTCCATCCATTCAGCAACTGCGTAGGCAACAGCCGAGAGAAGCGCTGCTTTTCTTCAAGCTATACGATCGAAAAATCCAGCACCACGAGAGATCGACAACCAGCGCTTGATTGAAGCAGTACAACACGTCGATCCCAAGTGGACCGAAGAAGTCGCAGCGTTGTACCAAACTCTTCAGCTAGCTTGGGATGCCGACGACTACGCTGCATGCATCGCCGATCTGGCGCGACGAAACATTGCCCGTTTCGTGGTGCCTAGCGTGGATCGTATGCTTCATGTCTCTACTGCGTCGAAAAGCGAAGTCGTCGAAGCGCTCATGATGCTACGGCTGCTGCATTCCGTTGCGTGTTGCGATGGGCTCATGATGCGCAGTTTTGTTCGGGCATCGCCATGAACGTACAACACTTAACACGCAGTTGCCTTTTACCACAGTGCCTTGTCTTTCTCGAAGTCATGAGTCCTCCATGCCGTTGGATCGAATGGCCACCGCAGTTTGCGTCGATTTATATCTGCTCCAAGCCATGGGCAACTGCAGAAAACATGTCAGTCGGTGGTGCAGGCTTACTCTTAATCACTGCAGTTCGTCCATGGCTGCTACCTCTTCGGTCACGTGGACGTCGATGGGACCGTCCGGTCTCGTCGGGAGGACCGATGTGCGCCTCGCGAGCTGCTCTTCCATCGCTGTGATCTGGCTTTGGATCATCCTCGGCGATATTTGGAATGGCTGGATCGCCTCTGGCACGAACGACGCAATGTCTTGCAGAAAGTCCGTCGCTTCACGACGCGTGAGGGCAAATCCAAGTCGAACCATTTCCCCGTCGTAGAGGAAGCCGACGGTCGGTCGTGTGATTTGAGAGCTGCTGGTTGGCGCGACGACTTGGAACGGCTTCATCAGGTCGACTTGAAATGTCCGCGACCGTCGTAGACATAGCGTTCGCCATTCGTACGTGATGGTTTTGGTCGTGGCAAACGTGTATATCTCGCACCCAAACACCGTCCATGCGGCCGTTGTCAGCACAAACGACGCAATGACGAGACCAAACACGAGCGGGATCACTTTGGCGGAGCTGCTATCCAGCACCACGGCTTCCAAAACGTAGACCGCGTATCCGGTCGCGCCGCCCAAGACAACCAACGCGGTCAAATAGCATGGATCCCTCGCCACGGGCACGCGAACGACGACCCCTCCCGTCTCGATCGGATGAAAGGTATATCGCGGGGCGAGAGCGGCCGTCATCGACAGCCACTGCGACTGCCGTGATGCCTTGGTGGATGGAGTGTTTGGACTGTTCATTGCGCGTGTGCCTTAAAATAGCTCCACGTTGTACGACAAGCTCCTTCGTCGAGTGGCGACTGTATCCATGGCACTGTTTTGGCTCCACGCCTGACAACATTCGAGGCTACTACTATTCACGCACGCAGGACGGCCACGGCAGTGTACAATTCCCTCCAACGGAAGGTTTTTCGTTGAATAAAATAGTCCTACGCGTGTCGTCCTTTCGTTCTCGTCCTACAAGTGTGCTCTATGTGGTGCCATGGATCAGTCCTGCGTGTTGTTGCAGCTACCATAGTTTGTCGGGTCGACGTAGTGGTCGCGACTGTTGACTCGAAATCGACTTGACAGCGGGCGCTCTTCTGCGGACGACGGAAAGTCGGTGGCCGGAGGGCATTCCAGGATGGCAGGATCCTGGAGCTGCAGCGAAATTTCTGGAAAACTTGGACGCGCCCCAGGGTTGGCATCCCAGCAGCTCTTCATGAGGTTTTCGAGCCCGGGGGGGCAATTGATGGGGATCACGGGCCTCAATCCGTTCACGACTGCCGTCATCTACGCAAACACGCCATGTCGGGTCCTTGGACGCATCGTGATCGATGATGGTACCAGTTGAAACGGATTCATCCCTTGGTCTCCGTACGGCTTGCTGCGCGACCACATCGTGTAGAGTAAGATACCAAACGAGTACACGTCACCCTTGGTGGAGCACTGTGTGCCGCCCATGGTGGCCATTTCTGGAGCCATATAACTCGGCGTGCCGACCTATACACCGTGGTGTGTTTTCCGTGTGATGTGGTGTTCGTGTAAATCCTTACCTCGGCAGTCATCGACGTCGTTTCCGGGTCGATCAACCTCGACAGTCCAAAATCGCAAATGTTGACGTCGTCCGTGTCCGTCAGCAACACGTTGGCCGGCTTCAGGTCCCGATGAACGACATTACGGCTATGGAGGAAGCCCATGCCGCTCGTGATTTGAACCACAACTTTCATGAAGAAGGACGGCTCGAACGGCCCTTTCGTCGCCGGGTTCTCGATCAAGTGGCTCAGACTTGTTTGGCAGAAGTCGGTAACAATGTACAAGATGCGGCTGTAGTAGCTGACGCCGTAGAATCGCACGACGTGGGGGTGGTGAAGCTTGCTCAAGATACTGACTTCCCGCCGAAAAAAACTCTGAAAGTACTCTTGACCTGTCACGGGGCTGTACAATCGCTTCACGGCCACGACCGAGTTGCCCCCGCCGCTGTGGTACAAACTCTGAAACACTTGACCCGACGTGCCATTGCCGACTTCCTTTTGCAACGTCAACGCTTCAAACGGTATCAACCAGTCGCGGGAGTCGGCCGACACGAAAAACTCGAGGTCGCTCACGTCCGATATCTCCAAGTACCCAGGGAATGTGCTCCCACGGCGGAGCACTTGGGGGTGGAAGATTTGCGTTTGACGCGCCAGGCGTCGCATCGAACACATGCAAAACCCCAACGTCGACAGCGCGATCAACCCTAAGCCACACACCATCGCGAGCGGAAACTCGTACACTTCGCATCCCATGCCGCTGAACCGAGCGTCGCATTCGCAAATGCCGACGGACCGATTCGCGTGGGGGATGCACACCCCATGGCCATTGCACATGAGGCCGCTCTCAATGTGCCCCGGACAGAGCACGCAGTCGGGACCAATGTACCCCGGCAGGCACGACGTACACGGGTTCTGCGACGACCATGCCCACCCTTCGTCGCACTTGCATGTTCCAGACCCCAGTAACCCGCTCGAACAAGTGCCGTGCGCACAGTCTTGCGGGCACGCGGTGCAGTTGGGGCCGAAGTACCCTTCGTCACAGTTGTAACAATCACTGGTGCTGCTGTATCCTTGACTGCAAATGCATTGCCCCGTGCCGTGGATTGAATCGTCGCATCGTCCTTGACCGCACCGCCGGCATATCGAGCAGTCGTGGCCAAAGTACCCGCTCATGCACGTTACGCAGTTGGTCGAGTCACTCCATCCTGGATCGCAGATGCACCGCCCGTCGCCTAGACATGACATTCCACATGACCATCGTCCCAGTTTGCGTCATTCTCATGGCGTTCCCTTACCATCGTTGCCGGCGCTACAGCGCCCGTGAGGCGCACAGATCGGACAGGACCGACAGAACGGTCCAAAGTGCTCTGGGGCGCATTGGCAGCTCATGGTCGTCGGGTTGAAGTCCCATCCGTCGTCGCAAAGCACACAGCGCGAGGCCGACGTGTACCCGGCGTCGCAAAAACACTGACCATCGCCAGACAAGGTATCGTTGCAAATGCCGCGGCCGTGGCACGATTCACACCGCGTGCAGTTGAGTCCAAAGTAGTTGGTTGAGCATTCTGTGCAATGGGTTTCGGCGTCAAAGCCGTCGCGACAGATGCATTGACCGTCGCCGTCAAGGCCGTGGTTGCACCGGCCTTCATGGCACGACTTGCATGGCGTGCACGTAGGGCCATAAAACGAATCGAGGCAGTCGAGGCAGTTCAGAGTCGCGCTATACCCCACCGCACAGGAACAGAGACCGTTTCCCTGAATCCCATCGTTGCAATTGCCATGCGGGTGGTTGCAATCGTCGCACGCAAGACAGCTTGGGCCGTAATGAAGCGGCAAGCACGTCGCACACCGAGTTGCAGGATCGAACCCGTTTGTGCACACACAGTCACCGGTGCCGTTGATGCCAGCCTGACACACGCCACCGTTGAAGCACACGTCGCACGTCTCGGTGCAAAAGTCTCCGTATTTGTTGTCCAGGCACCGTTCACACGTCGGAGGCGCATACCCGGACCTACGATCGCGATGGAAGAATGAGAATGGTCCGGGCGAGTGAGTTTCAATCAAGATAAACTCTAGAAGAGGATCGTACTGGCACGTGCACGTGCGCGGGTCGCCTTCCGTCACGGCGCAGTCGCAATGGCCGTGGCCGTGACACCACGTGTTGGTCGTTTCATTCCACCCGGGGCAATCTGTGGCACAGACGCGTGAGGGGATGTATGCAATGACGGACGAGAGAAGCTTACGATCGTCGTCCTGGACTTCGTAGAACAGATCCATGCGAGCCATGCCGACGTACGATACACCGCCAAACGAGCACACGGGTTGCTGGGAATGGTCGCCCGTCCATTCGTATTCGATCTCAAACTCGACGGAATCCTCAGTGATGAGAGGAAGTATCGAGCGTTGGGTGCCGTGGCCAGTTTGGATGGTGTTTTCATGCGGGGGCAGCACGTCAAACCAGTCGTCGCAGTGCGGGTAGTTCGCCAGCAAATACGAGTCGGACGGGTACACGAAGGACGTGAGGAGCTCGTTCTGGTTGATCTTCACGCTGCGGATCAGCCCCTTTCCTGTTGAATGGTAGCTCTGCCAGTCGATTTGCTTGACGTTGATCGACACAGCAGCCTACTCAGTGACCGACGTTGGCAACCAAACGACCAGGGCGACGTCTATGTACCTTGCACAGAGTCTGGGTTTTCGGGTCGAACAGCTTCGTCACGGGGTTCGTAGTGTTCGTAAACGGGCACTTTGTGCCTTCCCATGCAACGCACACCGCCGTTATGCTTTCCTGCTGTTCTCCCCTCGCGTCCACGAGTGTTCCTTCCAGCATCGCGAGCAGTAGCCATAGCAAGACGAAGGGTGTGGAGCATCGTACAGCACTTCTGAACCACCTCATCGTCGAAGAGCTGTCTGTCGCAATCTGTCCTCACGGCGACGCAGAGGACGTGGGTTGTTGAGGAGGATGGTAGCAAGAGGATCCAATGCACAAAGTGAAATTCGATGGGCAACTCGAAAGTCGGCAAAAAAAGATGAAATATTACGATAATATTTTGCAAAAATGACGTCACACGAGTTGCCATGGACTTGCATACTGAAATCAAGATATTTTGGACACAAACAAGCCCTCCATGGCGCCGTCATTTCACCTCGCGGCAGTGGGAGGGCAGTTGTCACATGCCGAGGGCCTCCACGAGAAAGAGAAGGAGAATTGGGCAGCCCAAGTGGAACCTACTCGATTCTGTGTACGCTGATGAGCTTGTGGTGGTGGGTGGCGTCTCTTCAAGCGGTGGGTGCACTCAAGTGAGTGCAGTTGGGGTCCGTCGCTGGGACTGCCGCCATACACAAACCAAGTTACCCGCATACGCTAGAGGGTCCAACGGAGGATACATCAGAGTCATGTACTCGACTCCGTCCATCAGCATCTGTGCTAGTTTTCGTCCATCTTCACACGCTGCAAAACTCCAGTCGGGTCCGGTCGAACTCCATTACAGAGACTGCCAAGTTTAGGCTAGCAAGCGCCGTCGTTGGCGTCCTCGCGCAAGGGGGTGGGCCTTGTAGTACTTTCGATGAGCTTCCCTCAAGTGGTGTGGTCGAATGGGTCCCGATTCTCCGTTCTTCTCCATAAGCTCCCGTGCTACAAGAAGTCCAGAATCTTGCAAGTTGTCTTGCGTCAACGGTACCTTTTTCGGTCAGTTCACCGACAAACTTCTTTGCCAGACCTGCACGAAGGCATGTTGTGATGGAAAGGATGGAACGACGCAATTTTGTACCAGACATGACAATCGACAAGTTCATGTGGACGCTGGGGGCCTTCCGATCGTTTCCAGAGCTCTCCTCAATCACTTGCATCATGCACTACACATCACATCTCGTGAACAACACAACCGTGGGTGGATGGACCGCTCAATCTGCCATACTCGCTTGACGACCATCTTGTCGAAATGTGACCGCCGGTACTGTTCGTGTTGTCGCATCTTTCCTTCTGGAAGACTCTGGATGAACTTGAGCTTCGCCAAGTTCTCAGTTTCTTCGTTGTTCTCGTCGTCGTCTTCATCTTTGACGCTGTCGTCGTTGTCATCGCCGGTGTCGTCCCCTTCGTCAATGTCGCCGTCTCCGTCGTTCGCTTCATTATCTTCGTCTGAGTTCTCGGTAGATTGCGTCTTGTCCACGTCATCGTTGTTGCTCGCATCTCCTTCCACGTCATCTTGAGTCATGCCTCCTTCGTTCTCGTCCTCCATCATGGCCTCATCGAGCTCGTCGTCGATGTTCGACATTGGATTTCCACCCGATTGCAGAATGGACGAGACCTACACTCCATATTAAAAGAAAAAAGTACGATTTTAAAACCCGTATCCGGACAAATGCCGCGCCGTTTCGCGAGGCGTCCGGCGCGCTGAACGGTCGTGCCTGTTACGCTTTCGTTCTCGTGCAGCACGACGTCCGTGGCGAAGCGCCTGAGTTGTCTGGCTACATCGACCCCGCTTCCCGGCCGTCATGGAGCCTAAGAAGGTGCGTGTTGCATCGAATCCAACAAACCTATGCATTCCAATCTCCATTCTCCTTGATCGACAGACGGGCCCGAAGCACAAGCCTGTCAAAGGAAGTGGCAAGAATTCGTCCGTGAGCTCGATCCACAGCGTCATGGAACAACTGGATCAGTATGAAAAGAGTGTCCTGGACCGTACAAGGAAGTCTGACATGACGATACCTGTTGTCGGCGGCATGACCCTGTCGCCATCGCGATCACGGCAGAAACTCATCAAACAATCGAATTCCAAAGCAGATTTGGCACTGCCGCATGCCCACCAGCACCACGCGACGACACCTCTCCCACCGAACACCCCGACTGCTCTAAAGACCTTGGATCTGGTGCAGTATCTCGAGCAAGCAGTTCCCCACAGTGCGATCCTCGACCAACAACCGTTCACACGGAGCTATCTCCCCCTGCGTCTCTTCTCCGATACGTCCGACACCTCCGCCCAGGAGTGGATTCGGACCGGACCGAAGAAGGCCGTGGGCCTCAGTGTGAACGAAGAAACGGGGGTGGTGGGCAACTGGTCCAACTGCACTGTCACAGCGTTTGATGCCAAGCTCGACATGTTTGTGGTGTCGTGGATGGCGGGCGGTCGCATCGGCCCCCCTCTCGTTCCCCGCGTTTATTTGTGCTTTGAAGTGGAGTCGCATCAAGGGTTTGTCGCCCGATTACATGAATGCGTCCGCCGCCGCCGAGAATCCGAAGCCCGCCTAAGGTGCGCCTGCTTCCGATGACCCTTGACGTGCACGTCATGTTGTAAAAACACTAGATTTTCCCTCTACGTTGAGAGCATGCCCAACGACGTTGAAGCCCAACTCGACTCGGACCGAGTCAACAGCATCCTGTCGTACACTCTGTCGTCGTCGCGGCTGTCCTCAAATGCCCGCACATCGAAGTTGCTCGAGGAAGTCAACGAAGAGTACATGCGGACCATGAACACTCTGATCCTTGAAACCAATTTGGCTGACGTGCAACTCGAATTCCCCATGCTGTTGTACCCGACCCGAATGCCGCCGCGACCGCCTCCCGAGCGCGGGGTCGTCTCCGTCGCGTGCTACGATTACAACGATCGTTTCATCTGCGCAACCCGCGACTCGTTTTTGAGCTCGTTGCCAGCCATTCGCGCCCTCTTGGACGTTCGACACTATTCAAACAACATCATGAGCCAAATGTTGTTGAAGACCGAGCAAGCGGTCGACTTAATGGACGGCGCGCGCGCGGCGCGATCGGTGGTCGTGGTGGACTTTGTCACGACGCAAAACCAAGTCAACCAAAACGCGATGCGATTTCTGCGAGACAACTGGACGCGTGCCGCGGCCAAGGCGATTCAAGTGCACATGGGCAGCACGGACGTCCCGGGACTGTACAACTTGACCGAAAGCCATCGCAACTTGTACGATGGCACGTGCCTGCAACGAATTCTCCGCCGCGTCAACTTTATGGCGCAGGATGCGCTGCGAAACTTGCTCTACCACACGTTCCACGCGTACGCGGCGTTTCTCGAACACATGTGCGCCAAAACCGTCGTGATCCGGGACACGAACGACGTCGACGTGTCATATTCGGACGAAACACTCAAGACGTGCAACAACTACACGCCGCTGTTCAAGGTCGACGTGGTGGTGTCGGCGGATGTGAAGGTGCTCAACCAAGACGCGATCGATGAACGTCAAGCCAAGATCAATGCATGGCACGAAGACAACAAAGACGACAGTGAAAAGTGCCCGATTGACCCGGTCGAGTCAGTCGAAGGACACGATTTCGAGTACGCCACGCCCCCGTCGGCGTTCCTCGAGGCCGCGACGTCCCAATTCGACACGGTCTTGTCGCGTGTAAAAGCGCTGGAGCTCATCGAGCGCCTTGTCATGGACCGCTTGTTCTGGCCTCAGCAAGATTGCATCCAGTGCATTGACGTGACGGAAGAGTGGGTGCAGAACCTCATACGCCGTGTCCAGGAGTGCTTGACCGCGGCGCTGGCGCCCATGGAAGACTACCATCGCATCATCAGCAAGTATGTGCCGCTGCTCAACTTGAGTGTCGCCGACTACCTCGGAGGGCTGGTGAAGACGCCCGAGCCCAAATCGAAGGAGGAAGATGCAGACGCGACCGAAGTCGACGTGACGCCGCCGATGGAACTCAACGAGCTGCGCCGGGTGATCCAAAAACACCGCGACGCCGAACGCATGATACTCAACTGTATTCCCGCGCAACCGATCAACCTCGGCATTGTGTCGGTGGACGTCTCCAACATTCGCACGATTCTAGCCAAGAAGCACAGCGAAATCCACACCAAGTTGCTCGAGACTCAAGTGAGCTACTGCTACCGCCTGTCGACCAAACTCACGGGCAATTTTGAAGAGATCAACGCCAACTTGGCCGTCACGCCCAAGGACGTCGAAGGGTTGACGCAATTGCAAGAGTACATTGCGAGTGTACCTGCCGCGATCCAACCGCTTCAAGACGAGATCCGCGTCATGCTGTCCAACAACGACTTGGTCGACGAGTTTCAGTTTATGGTGTCGGATGACCACCTTCGGTTGAAGTGGAACGTGCTGGGGTGGCCCACCCGCATTGCGACCCAAAGCGCTCGGTTCAAGTGGGCACTCGAAGAGCGAAAAGTCAAGTTTGCCAAGCAAATGGAGGCCGAACAGGACCGATTTGAAAAAACATTGAGCTCGCTCGTCGAAGAAGTCGACGCGTTTTCGCGGTACGACAACTTGAGCCACGTCGAAGACATTGCGCACCACGCCATGTCGGTGCAAAAGAAACTCGACCAGGCGACGCAGGACGCGGCCGTGTTCAACTCGCGCGAAACGTTGTTTGGGAAGGAAGTGACGGCGTACGACATGCTGGCGGTCGCCAAGAAGAACTTTGAGCCGTATAACATGCTCTGGTCATCGTCGTACAACTGGATTCAGTCGCGAAAGCAGTGGACGCAGGGCAGCTTCACGGACGTCAACGCCGACGAAATCGAAAAGGCGGTCGACACGTACGGGACGTCGATCCAGAAAGCAGCCAAGTTCTTCTCGAACAGCGGCAACGACGCATGTGCCAAGATCGCGGACACGATCAAAGAACAAATCAACGTGTTCAAACCGTACGTTCCGCTCATTGTGGCGCTGCGAAACCCGGGGATGCGTCCGCGCCACTGGAACGAACTCAGCCGCGTGCTTGGGTTCACCCTCGAAATGGACGAAAGCTTCACGTTGAACTCGATTTTTCGCCTCAACTTGCTCGACCAGATCGATGACATTGTCAAGGTCAGCGAAGCGGCCGGCCGCGAGTACCAAATTGACGTGGCGCTGACAGCCATGAAGAAACAGTGGGAAACCATCGAGTTACAGATCATTCCGTATCGAGAGACCGGCACGTACATAATCAAAGGCGTCGACGAGATCCAAATCGTGCTGGATGAGCACATCACGATGACGCAAGCGATGATGTTTTCGTCGTTCAAAGGACCGTTTGAGGAGCAAATCACGGAATGGAACATAACGTTGCAACTCGTGAGCGAAGTCCTGGAAGAGTGGCTCGCCGTCCAGCGATCGTGGCTGTACCTGCAGCCGATCTTTGAATCGCCCGATATCAACAAGCAACTGCCGCTGGAAGGGAAGCGCTTTGCGTCCGTGGACAAGAACTGGCGCCAGACACTGAGTTCGGGCAAGACGAAACCGAGGGCAGTCGAGTTTTGCAACTCCCCCAAGCTGCTCGAGAAATTCAAAGAGAGCAATGTGTTTTTGGACATGGTGCAAAAAGGATTGAGCGACTACTTGGAGGTGAAGCGGTCGAGCTTTGCGCGATTCTACTTTTTATCGAACGACGAGCTGCTCTCGATTTTGTCCGAGTCGAAAGACGTCAAGCTCGTGCAGCCCCACTTGAAAAAGTGCTTTGAAGGGATCGTAAAGGTCGAGTTCCAAGAAGACTTGACGATCACGGCCATGATCTCGGCCGAAGGCGAGCAAGTCCACATGCACGAACCCATTGACCCGAACGGCAAGAACGTCGAGTTTTGGATGTTGGAAGTCGAAAACATGATGCGAACGTCGATTCGAGACATCATGCACCAAGCGATCCTGGATTACATTCGCGTCGACCGGTCCAAGTGGGTGCAAAAGTGGCCCGGCATGTGCGTGCTAAACGCGAGTCAAATGCACTGGACGCGCGAAATGGAAGAAGCCATGGACCAGTTCGGCGCGGAAGGCGTCAAGTCGATGTTGCAGCGACAACTGGGGCAGTTGGCGGACATGTATGGCCACTCGTACGCTCTCTATTCTGAAGAGTACTTGGTGTAGGGTCAAGATGGTCCGTGGTAACCTGGACAAGATGACTCGCATCACCATGGGCGCATTGACCGTCATTGACGTGCACGCCCGCGACGTGACAAAGAAACTTGTGGCCAACAACGTTCAAGCAAAGGCAGACTTTTTGTGGAGCTCCCAGCTGAAGTACTTTTGGGACAACGACTTGTTTGCCCAGATGGTGACGTCCCGACGTCCGTACGGCTACGAATACTTGGGCAATTCGTTTCGGCTCGTGATTACCCCATTGACGGACAAGTGTTACTTGACCTTGATGGGGGCGTTGCAAATGATCCTGGGCGGCGCGCCGGCGGGCCCGGCCGGAACGGGAAAGACCGAAACAACAAAAGATCTGGCCAAGGCGCTGGCCAAGCAGTGCGTCGTGTTCAACTGCTCCGATGGTCTCGACTTCATTGCCATGGGCAAATTCTTCAAAGTAACTCGTCGCGCATGCTGACATCGTACCTGACTTGGGCATGTGTAGGGCTTGGCATCGTGTGGGGCTTGGGCGTGTTTCGATGAATTCAATCGTATTGACATCGAAGTGCTGTCTGTGGTGGGCCAGCAAGTGATGACGCTGCAGCTGGGCATCCGCCGCGGCGAACAGCGCATTATCTTTGAGGACTCGGACATCAAGTTGAGCGATCAGTTTGGTGTGTTTATCACGATGAATCCCGGGTATGCCGGTCGATCCGAGCTGCCCGACAGTTTAGCAGCTCTTTTCCGCCCCGTTGCCATGATGGTGCCCGATTACGCCTTGATCGGGGAAATCATGTTTTTCGCGTACGGCTTTGCCGACGCGCACGCCCTTGGCGCAAAGATGGTCACGACTTTCAAGGTATGCACGTTGTGTTGGTAGTTTGCGTTGGTCGTGATGCCGCCGTCTCTAGCTGTGCTCGGAGCAACTGTCGTCGCAAAGCCACTATGACTACGGGATGCGGGCCGTGAAAACCGTGATTACTGCCGCGGGAAACCTGAAACGATCCGACCCAGACATGGACGAGGACGTGCTTCTCCTCCGCGCATTGCAAGATGTAAATTTGCCCAAATTCTTGGCCCACGACATCCCGTTGTTCAACGGGATCATATCGGACTTGTTCTTGGGCAAATGCCGGCCAGTCATTGATCTGGGGGCGCTCATTTCGGTGATCAAGCTCAAGACACAGCACATGGGGCTCCAACCCGTGCCGTACTTCTTGACCAAGTGCATTCAGCTTTATGAAACAATTGTGGTGCGCCATGGTCTGATGGTAGTGGGAGCCACCGGCGGGGGCAAGTCGGCCAACATCGAAGTCTTGGCCGAAGCGCTGGGCGAGCTCAAGAGTCGTGGGGAGACTGGCTTTGCGTACGAAAACGTGATCAAGTACCAGCTCAACCCGAAATCGATTACGATGGGCCAGCTCTACGGCGAGTTCGATGCCAACACGCACGAGTGGCAAGATGGCATTTTGAGCACGCTGTACCGTGTCGCAGCGTCGTGCACCAAGCCAGATCGCAAGTGGATCATTTTTGACGGGCCCGTCGACGCCATTTGGATTGAAAACATGAACACTGTCTTGGATGACAACAAAAAACTCTGTTTGAACTCGGGCGAAATGCTGCAAATGAGCTACCAGATGACCATGATGTTTGAAGTGGAAGACCTGTCCGTGGCGTCGCCGGCGACTGTGAGCCGTACCGGAATGGTGTACATGGAACCGAGCACGTTGGGCCTCCAGCCTTTGGTCACGAGCTGGCTAGAAAAGTTCCCCAACTCCCTCCAGCCATTCGCGATTCATTTCTTGAAGCTGTTCGACGTGTACTTGTACTCGACCGTCGCATTCATGCGATCGTTTCTCGTGGAGCTCGTCCCGACGATCGACAACAATTTATGCCAGAGCCTCATCAGCATTCTCAACTGTTTCTTGTCGCCGTATCTCGCGGCCGAGCCAGCTACGCCGGATGCAACGTTCAAGCAAGACATCGAGCCCATCTTCGTGTTTGCCCTGGTCTGGTCCGTTGGCGCCACGACCAACGACAGCGGCCGCAGTCGGTTTGACGCGTTCCTGCGGTTGCAAATGCTGAGCAACAACATGAATCCAGTCGTCCCGCCGAAAGGACTTGTGTACGACTACTCGTATTCGATGAAAGAGCACAAGTGGATCTCGTGGATGGACACGATCGCTCCGTACCGAGTGCCAGCTCAAATTTCGTTTGCCGAAATAGTCGTGCCAACGTCGGACAGCGTGCGCAACACGTTTCTTCTGGAACAACTCATCAAGATCGAGAAGCATGTTCTCATGGTCGGCGCGACCGGGACGGGAAAAACTGTCAACATTTCTCGATTCCTCGCGTCGCTCAACGCAGACTACATGCCCATTGCCATGACATTCAGCGCCCAAACAAGCGCCAACCAGACTCAAGATTTGTTGGACAGCAAGATGGAGAAGCGTCGAAAAGGCGTGTTTGGTCCGCCCGCCGGGAAGAAATTTGTCGTATACGTGGACGACTTGAACATGCCCAAGCGCGAAAAGTACTTTGCGCAGCCGCCGCTCGAGTTGATTCGGCAGTGGTTTGACCAAGGCGGGTGGTACGACCGAAAGCTACTGCAGTTTCGAAGCATCATTGACGTGTTGTACGTGGCGTCGATGGGCCCTCCTGGTGGTGGCCGAAATCCCATCACGATGCGCTTGTTGCGGCATTTCAACGTCGTGTGCTACGCCGAACTCAACGATGAGAACAAGGCGATCATTTTCAGTACGATCTTGTCGAGCTTCCTCGCGTCGTTCGTGCCGGAAGTGCAAAAGCTCGACAAGGACTGTGTCCAAGCGTCGATTCACGTGTACAACACGATATGCCAAGAACTGCTCCCGACACCCGCCAAGAGCCACTACACGTTCAACCTACGTGATTTGGCCAAGATTTTCCAAGGATGCTTGATGTGCGACTCGCGCAAAGTCCAAGACGGGCACGGCTTCATGCGGCTGTGGGTGCACGAATGCAAACGCGTATTTGAGGATCGCATGGTGTCCCACGACGACCACCAGTGGTTTGCCAATCTGTTGCGGGCCACAAGCCTCACGTTTTTCAAAACGGACTACAACGAGATCGTCAAGACGCCGTACTTGATGTACGGCGACTACTTGGTGCCGGGTGCTGACCCCAAGATCTACGAAGAAGTCGTGGACGTCACCAAGTTGCTGCCGATCATTGAGGAGTATTTGATGGAACACAACGCGGAGAGCAAGACGCCGATGCCGTTGGTGTTGTTTATCGACGCTGTCGAACATGTATCTCGCATCTCACGCATCATTCGCCAGCCTTTGGGCAACGCGCTCTTGCTTGGTGTAGGTGGCAGCGGTCGTCAGAGCCTGACCAAGCTCGCTACATTTATGGCTGGATACAAATGCTTCCAAGTCGAAATCGTCAAGGGATATGGCATGGTGGAATGGCGCGACGACGTCAAGAAGTGCCTGCTCATGGCGGGCTTGAAAGACAGCCCAGTGGTGTTTTTGTTTTCCGATGTCCAAGTCGTGAATGAAACGATGCTGGAGGATCTCAACGGCGTCCTCAACTCGGGGTCCGTCCCCAACTTGTACGGCCCCGAGGACATGGACCAAATCGTGAACGCGTGCAAGATCGACTGTCAAAAGAAGCAAATCCCCCCGACAAAAACCAACATCTTTTCGCAGTACATTGTCCGCGTCCGGCGCAACATCCATCTTGTGATTTGCATGAGCCCGATCGGAAATGCATTTCGCGATCGATTGCGAATGTTTCCATCGCTTGTCAACTGCTGCACGATCGACTGGTTCAGCGAGTGGCCCGCGGAAGCCCTCAACTCGGTCGCGACGGCCATCCTGAGCGACGGCAATTTGAAATTAGGCAACGCCGACCAGATGCAGCATCTCGTGGAAGTGATCAAGTCGATCCACCAGAGTGTCGAGGTCAAGTCGAAGGAGTATTTTTCGATCATGCGGCGGTACTTTTACGTGACCCCCACGAGCTATCTCGAACTTCTCTCGACTTTCAAAACCGTGCTCGTGTCGAAACGGGAAGAAGTCAACACGATGAAGTTCCGTCTGCAAAACGGTGTGGACAAACTGAGCGAGACCAAGGTGATTGTCGCAACGATGCAAAACGACCTGGTCGAGTTGCAACCCGTGCTTGCCGCGACCCAAATCGAAGTCGAACAAATGATGGTGCAAATCACGAAAGATCGTGCCGATGCAGACGTGACCAAAGCTGTCGTGGAAAAGGAGGAAGCGAACGCATCGACCAAGGCCCGTGCGACCAAAGAAATCGCCGACTCGGCCCAGCGCGACCTGGACGAGGCGCTGCCGGCCCTCGACGCCGCTGTCGCATGCTTGAACAAGCTCAAAAAGTCCGACATCGACGAAGTCAAGTCGCTCAAAACACCCCCAAGCGGTGTCAAGTTGACCATGGAAGTGGTCTGCCTCCTCTTCCAGCACAAACCGACAATGAAAGCCGATCCAGACAAGCCCGGCAAGAAAATCGCCGATTACTGGGACGTTGCACAGAAGGTTGTGCTGGCGAACGCCAACAAGTTTCTCGAGTCTCTGTTTACGTTTGACAAAGATAATATCCCCGACGCCACCATTGTCAAAGTCCAGCCATACATTGACGATCCAAACTTTACGCCTGAAATGATTGAGAAGTCGTCGAAAGCGTGTACGGCCATCTGCATGTGGGCTCGAGCTATGTACACGTACCATTTTGTCGCCAAGTCAGTCGAGCCGAAGAAGAAAGCGCTGGCGGAAGCACAGACCGAATTGGATGCTACCATGGAAATCCTGCGCGGGGCTCAAGCAGGGTTGAAGCAAGTCACCGATCGCTTGGCCGAACTCGAACGGAGCTACAACGCCGCGATCACCAAGAAGGAAGAACTCGCAGCCAAAGTCATTCAGTGCCAAGTGCAGCTGGCCAATGCAGACAAACTCATTGGCGGTCTCGGAGGTGAAGAAACACGATGGAAGGCGACTGTCGCGCAACTGAACGAAGACTACAACAACCTCACAGGCGACGTGCTCGTTAGTGCCGGCACAATCAGTTATCAGGGCGCGTTCACCGCCGAATTCCGAGAATCGCTTGTAACGAGCTGGCACGGTGCGCTCCAAGAGCACTCGGTGCCCCATTCGAGAGGCTGCGACATTGTCGTCACGTTGCAAGATCCCGTGAAGCTTCGCACGTGGCAAATTGCCGGGCTGCCAACCGACTCGGTGTCGACGCAGAATGGCATCATCATTTCCCGAGCGCGAAGGTGGCCTCTCATGATCGATCCACAAGGTCAGGCAAACCGATTTGTAAAGAACCTCGGGAAGGAAAAAGCCCTGTGTGAAAACGGCATGGACGTGGTCAAGCAATCGGACAAGAACTTTTTGCGCGCCCTCGAGAACGGAATTCGTTTTGGCAAGTGGGTTGTTCTCGAAAACGTAACGGAAGAACTCGACGCGGCCCTCGAACCCGTCCTGTTGCAGCAAAAATTCAAGCAAGGTGGGCAGGACGTGATTCGGCTCGGGGAAAACATCATCCCGTACAACGACTGCTTTCGGTTTTACATGACGACGAAGCTCGCCAACCCACACTATCCCCCCGAAGTGTGCGTGAAGGTTAGCTTGCTCAACTTTACGATCACGATGAAAGGTCTTGAGGAGCAGCTCCTGAACGTCGTCGTGCAAAAAGAAATGCCCGAGCTCGCGGAGAAGAAGAACGAGCTCGTGTTGTCCAATGCGGAGTCGAAAAAACAATTGTACGACATTGAGAACCAGATCCTGTACTTGCTGTCGCATTCGCAAGGCAACATCTTGGACGACACAAACCTGATCGAGACGCTTGCGTCGTCCAAGCAAACGTCGGCGATTGTCGTCGAAAAGATGAAGGAAGCCGAAGAAACGGAGAAGGAAATCGATGCGCGGAGCAATGGGTATCGTCCAGTGGCGTACCGGGCGGCGCTCCTCTTCTTCTGCATCGCCGATTTGTCCCGCGTTGATCCGATGTATCAATATTCGCTGCCGTGGTTCACCAACATCTTTGTTCGAGCCATTCTAGCAGCCAAGCCGTCCAGTGTCCTCGACCAACGCCTCCAAAACCTCAACGACACGTTTACGTACTCGGTGTACAAAAACGTGTGCCGGTCGCTGTTTGAAAAACACAAGCTCCTGTTTTCGTTCTTGCTCACCATCAAGATCCTTCAAGGCAGCAACCTCATCAATGCGCTCGAGTGGCGGTTCCTGTTGTCCGGCATGGCCCCCGGCTCGGTCGCTCTCGACAACCCCGCTCCGCAGTGGCTGGAAGGGTACGCGTGGACAGAGCTGTGCCGTCTGTCGTCGTTGCCAGCCTTTGTGGGGTTTGCAGAGTCGTTTGGCGCGCAGAAGGACGCGTATCGAGCTTTGTTTGACAGCAGTGAGCCGCACATGGTTCAACTTCCAGGCGGATGGCATGACATGCTGGACGGGTTTCAACGCCTTTGCGTCCTGCGCAGCCTTCGACCAGACAAGATGATGCAAGGCATTCAGAACTTGGTTATTGAGAAACTTGGCAAGGAATTCATTGAACCGCCTCCGTTCGACTTGCAGGAAACGTTTGAGGACTCGACGCCTGTGTCGCCGCTCATCTTTGTCTTGTCGCAAGGCAGTGACCCGGCCAAGGACTTGCTCACGTTTGCGATAGCGACCAAAATGGACTCGAAGCTCAAGAGTATCGCTCTGGGGCAAGGCCAAGGCGCGCTCGCTGTCCGGTTGATTGAAAACGCTGTGCTCAAGGGGGAATGGGTCTTGCTGCAAAACTGCCACTTGGCGCTGTCGTGGATGCCCGACCTGGAACGCATTTGCGAAGAGCTCGATCCTGCGAAACTCCATGTGGACTTTCGTTTGTGGCTCACGAGCATGCCCACGCCGGTGTTTCCAACGTCCGTGCTGCAGAATGGCGTGAAAATGACCAAGGAAGCGCCCAAAGGCTTGCGTGCGAATCTCAAAAACACGTACTTCAAGCTGAACGACGACAGCTTGACCAAAACCAACAAACCTGGCGTGTTTCGAAAGCTCTTGTTTGGACTGTGCTTTTACCACGCGATCGTGTGTGAGCGCAAGCGATTCGGCGCGTTGGGCTGGAACATCCCGTACTCGTTCAATGAAACGGACCTCGACATTAGGTAGGTCGTCATGTCCAGTGGGTGTCTTCGTCACGCGTGTTTGGGATTTGTAGTGTCGCTCAGCTCCAAATGTTCTTGGACACGTACGACCAAGTCCCGTTTGAGGTGCTGCAAGTCATGACGTCGATGATCAACTACGGCGGCCGCATCACCGACGACAAGGACATGCGGACATCCGACGTGATTCTCATGACGTATTTCACCTCCGACATCTTGACGGTGAGGACGATCGGTCGAAACGACACGATATTTGTTGCCGTCCCATGACGAATGGGCGTATAGGACGGATACAAGTTTTCGTCGAGCGGAATTTATTTCTCCATTCCATGCAACCCCAAGGCACCGTATGCGTCGTACGTGGACTACATCAACTCGCTTCCGATCAACCCCGAGCCAGAAGTGTTTGGAATGCACGACAATGCCAACATCACGTGTGCGCAAGCCGAGACGTACGACATGTTTGACATTATCCTGAGCCTGCAGCCACGCATGACTGCCGGAGCGGGCAAGTCCCGAGAAGACACGATCGCGGACGCGGCGAAAACGATTGAGACAAGTTTGCCGGCGAATTTCGATCTCGAGTTTGTCCAAGTCAAGTACCCTGTCATGTACACTGAAAGTATGAATACGGTGTTGGCGCAAGAAGTCGAGCGCTTCAACAAACTGCTCAGCGTCATGAAGGATACGCTCAAGCAAGTCCAGAAGGGCCTCAAGGGTCTCATTGTGTTGTCGTCCGAGCTTGAGAGCATGGGCAACAGTTTGTACGATCAAAAGGTGCCGACGTTGTGGGAAGGCAAGGCATATCCGTCGCTCAAACCGCTCACGTCGTGGGTCGCCGACTTGATTGAACGACTCACGTTTATTTCCAACTGGATCGACAAGGGGATCCCGACCGTGTTTTGGATCTCGGGCTTCTTTTTTCCCCAAGGGTTTATGACCGGCATCATCCAAAACCACGCGCGTCGACAAAAGCTCCCCATCGACACACTCAGTTTCAAATTTATCATGTTGCCGCAGGAGCTTGGCGACGTGACCGAGCGACCGGCAGAAGGATGCTACGTCTACGGACTCTTCCTGGAAGGCGCGAGGTGGAACAAACAATTGGAGAGCCTCGACGACCCGTTCCCAAAGGAACTGTTTGCAAAGATGCCGCTGATGCATTTACATCCACAGCAAAAACGAGAGGCTCCAAAGGGCGGCATCTACCGCTGCCCAGTGTACAAAATCCTGACCCGGACAGGGACGCTCAGTACAACCGGCCACTCGACCAACTTTGTCATGTGGATCGAAATCCCGTCGAATCGACCAACCATTTGGCGGAATTCCCTCGTCTCGGAAACGAACGCTCAAGTTCTGTTTTGCGATCAAGAGTACTGGATCAAGGCCGGAGTTGCGTGCTTCTGCAGTTTGCGATACTAGATCGCTTCGTTATTTCCTCCATGCAATTTGCTGTTCCATGCTCCAGTGATGGCTCGAACATGTCGCGTTTACGTGTCGGATGCCATGGATGTTTGTCGAGGTAGACGCCGTGTATCTGCCCTAGGAACGTGAAATTGGTGAGACCATTGCGCTCGTGTAGCAGCCGAGTAGATGCGCTTGGTTCATGCGCCATCGTACCAAAGGAGAAGGGTCGGCAACGGGTGTGGGCATAATCACTTGGGTGGCTTGAGTTTACATGGAAAGGAGCAACATACCAGTTGGAGCAAGCGTTGCCGCCGATGGAGGCACAAAAGCACAAACGCAGGTCTTCGCGAGTTCCCTGGTGAACATGGATGGCGGACAAGCTAGAGTCCTTGACTCATGACGCGGCAAAAATTTCAGGGTTAAAATGCACCACGTAATTTCTTCGAATATATAAAGTAAGCTAGCATGCCTTGGTCATGGAGAGACTTGGCTGCTCAACAATCGGCTCCAGCCGCTTGCCTTGGCCACAGACTTGCAGTTCCCGCAAGATCAACGGGATCGAGTACGGCGTTTGATGCTTCGACTCCATCACGTCGCGAAGACGCATGCCAGAAAGTAAGAAGCGCTTGATCAAGCTGTGCGCGTTCACAGACACTAGAGAGCAATTGCGACAATACGGGCTCGACAGAATCTTGAGAATTGCTTGAATGTACGCGTGGAAGTCGACCACACGTTGCATGATTATTCCATCCGAGTGAAAGAATCGTTTGGGGGGAAACGACAGCGACTGGAGGCTCTCGATGGCTTTTTTGCAATAATGGCAGTGCGGTGTCTCAAAGAGCTCCTCGAGGTCCTCGCGGAGGTCGTGGAAGAGAGAATACCGGCGCTTGATTTCCCACATTGTGCCACATCGACTGTTCTCCATCACGAACACGTACTCGACGTAGTCGCCACACTTGGACACTTGCGGCACGACCTCGTGCACGATGAACCCTTTCATGTTGTCCAGCACAAGGGCGTGGGCCTTGGTGGCCAAACGTTGTTGGCGGTACTTGTCTGTAGTCGTCCAAAGCTTCGTCGACAAGTGTCCACGTTGTTCCTTCTGAATGATGGTATAGAGCCCATTGTCCATACCCAGAGTGCGAGGTCCTACATGACGGATCATCCAGTTGCGCGTCGCGGTGGCGGAGGGCAGAGCACACAGGTCGACTTGCAGCGGCGGGTGAAGCGACAATGGCCAAGCGGCCAAGCGCGAATCTCTCGAAATAGTAGCGATTTACCGCCCTGTGATTGGTCAGTCGTAACTTCAACATGTTGCACACCACCCGCGCGAGATGGCAAACGGAATCCGCGCGAATCTCGAGTGCGTCGCACCTGTGCAAGGAGATTCCAGCGTCATTTGTCGAGGAAGGTTGTGTCTCGGGCATGCAGTCGCTTCCGACGCCGCCCCCAAGCCATCGAAAGCCATTTTTCGGCCGAACACCACTCTGATGGTAGTGTGTGTGTGACCAGGTTGAAGTTCATGGAACCAATCACGCGTTTCGACAGTTTGTCGGAATTGGAAGGCTGGCCCTGGAGCCCTGCGTTGTATGCCCGGTACCTTGAGAGCGCAACCCACGATGCAAAAAAACTGATGCAACGTGTCTCCACCACCGCCATTCGTGTATTCGACTGACGAAGCGCTCCCGCCTCAATTTACGACAAATGAAGATTCGGTACTTGGTGCGTGAAGTAACGTGTCAGAAGAAACGTTTCAACGGGCAAGCGCTCCACTGTGGCATCCAGAGACCTGACTTCATCTTGATTGCTTAAAATATTGTTTTTCGCTCGCGTTGTTGTGGTTATGTCGTTGGAATGGCTTGCACAGTTGTCACGACAAGGTGTGGCACTTGAATTTTCACGCGTGGAGCGCGGTATCCCTGGCCAACAAAATGGCGTGGCAACTTTTGCAAACTCACTTCTTGCTGTGTCAAGACCAATCTGTGGGTGCTGCGCAGCGCAAGGGGTCGTACGTCGTTCGTTACTGACTGTACAAAAATGTGGTCTACTGTATGCAATAATACACCATTTCCCCCCGATGACCGAACGGGGCAAACTTGATAACTTCTATGAATTTGTAACATTGAATGTCAGAGGGATTTTCAACTTTTGAATGCATTCACGTACGAGTAGAGCAATTCAAACGAGGCATGCCAAGCAAAACGAAGTTGCGGGTGACTCTTGTGGAGAAGCATGAGTTATATGCGAAGCATTTAAGCGAGCCTAACGTGTCCTACTCTGTTCTGGCCTTGTGGAAAGCTCAAACATTTGGTCTCGCGTCAACTTCATCGCAGTCAGCAGGCTCGGACGATCTGTGGTGAACTCGGTGTCGAAACAAACCTACGCTTCTCCAAGGGTTGGCTGTACAAATACCAAATAACAAATGGGTTAACCAGCAAGGTGCAGCACGGCGATGCTGGATCAGTGAGACCGTCAACGTTGGGCGTCGCGAGGTCCTAAGTATGACCGCTGGTTACTTCAGTAAGAATGTTCTCAACATGGACGAAACCACGTTCTTTTACTGCATGTCCCGCATCTATCCGTTACGCGCAATCGGTTGCCTGTGACGAAGAAATCAAAGAAACGCATCACGGTGGCACTCACCACGAACGCAGCCGACACCGACACAATCGACCCCTTGTTCATCGGCACGGCTGAAAAACCTCGTTGCTTCGGCGGTCAACCACCGGCGACACTTGGGTGCGATTACTAAGAGAGTAAGAAGGGTTGCATGAACTCGGACATTTTTAACTCATACCTGGAAGCTCTGAAGGTCAAGATGGCAGAGCAGTGCCGAAAGGTTCTGATGCTTGTCGACAATACCCCGCCGCACCTGGTATTGGAGACCACGCCCCAGGATCCGTGTCAAGAAGCTGCCACCACATACGACAGCCTTCAGCCCCAAGACGCTTGAATCATCGCCGCTTTGAAGGCCAAGATCAAGCATTACCAGCTTCATAATGCCCTAGAGCAGATCAACGAGGTTATTGCCGGTCGACAAGAGGGTTGTATGAAGTACCTCTGGATATTGCAATGGGGTCGGCCAAGGAAGCAAGGAAGCGTGGCGGTCTATGACACAGTCCACAAAGACGAGCGTTTCGGCTCGAACTGGCATCATGGACGACGACCTTACCACATTCAGTGGCAGATTGTCGAATTTGGACATTAATATTCGTGAATAATTAGCTGAGAACGATTCTTTGACTTTCAATTCATTAATTAAGTCTTTAAACCAGTTGCTGAGTCTTTCACGATTGAACTTCGTTCAAAACTAGTTGAGAGAGAAACTGCGGAAGACACTTCGAAACACATTAGACACTTTGAGAAGAATAAGTTACCTTGAAAATAGTCAGTTATGTATATTTGACTCAAATCTGTGTGGATTCCGAATTGATCGCGTAACTGATCAAATACGTCACGGCTGACAAATGGCCAAGTATTCAACAACTCCAAGTGCAAGCTGTATTACTTTAGCTAAAA